TTTTTTTTTTTTTTTTTTAAGATACAACACTATTGCACATGAATAGACTTTTCTATGCACCGGGAAACCAAAAAGTTCAATTGAGTCACTTTATTGCAATATTGGCATTGTGGTGGTCTGAAACTGAACCCATGTTATCTTTGAGGTATGCCTGTAAATAAAGTAACCCTGGGTTTACTTGTTCTATTAACTCATTCTTCTGCATATGTGTAGGCAATGCTAACTAATACCATGATCCCTCTTGTGCATGGCAAGAAACAAAAATATTTACAGCTCAACAAAAATTAAAATGTGCTGGTAATTTTACAGTAGAGGCTGTTTTTCATGTATATGGTATTTTGACAAGTTCTGATGCATGGTAGCATATGGGGCAACAAATTATTAACAGGGTTATCTGCACCATCGATGACTGCCAGATTAGCTGAGTTATCAGGCTTGACACACAGGGTGACCTTTGGCAGGAACTGGTATAAATACTAGGTTAGCCCTGTTAATAATCCCTAAGAGATCTTTTTTCCTTCCTTTAAAAAAAACAAAAACAAAAACAAAAAAACAAAAAAGCAACCTTGAGACACCTGGGTAGCTCAGTCGGTTAAGCATCTGACTTCAGCTCAGGTCATGATCTACCGGTCAGTAAGTTCGAGCCCCACATCGGGCTCTGTGCTGACAGCTCAGAGCCTGGAGTCTGCTTTGGATTCTGTCTCCCTCTCTCTCTGCCCTTCCCCTGCTCACACTCTGTCTCTCTCAGAACTAAACATTAAAATTTTTTAAAATCCATAAAACAAGGGAAGGGAAGGGAAGGGAAGGGAAGGGAAGGGAAGGGAAGGGAAGGGAAGGGAAAAAAGAAAGAAAAATTAAAAAAACATAAAACAAAACTGCCCAGCAATTCAAAATGCCCGTAGATCCAGACGGGGGCTCCGCCCTCAACTCCCTCAATAGAGATGTAATGATGTCTCTATAAGAAAACTGAACCAAACACCAAACCCCAAATGAACAAAAAAACAAACAAAGAGTGACCTCCAGGCTCCCTACTGTCCAGAGCTGGTTTGGGCACTCACTCACTCAACAATGAGTCACTTATAACTAGGGGACAAGGGACAAGCACAGTGAGGCAGCTGGGATAGTCAAGAGCAAAGTACACAACGGCTGGGACCACGTAAGCTGCCTTGCCAAACCCTGCCCCCTTGGTGAGACTCCTGGCCACCAGCCACTGAGCTCCAGGGCTGGGCACACCGCTCACACACGGCCTCGTGGCTGTGGACTCGTCACTGGCTAACATAAGGGCTCTGTCCTAGAGGCCACAAGCTAAGCTTCATTCATATTTTTCATAATGCTTGCATTTGTCCAACCGAGTTAATGTCATTAGAGTACAGCTCTTTTATCACATTCTAATTCACGACAAAGATGAAGAATCGAGACAGCAAACTGAATTGCCCTAATGTGATTAACTTACACAGTCATCTGTTTCGGGCATAGGACACCAGCTCAGAGTTGGTGATTATTAAAGTACTGATTTTACGATATTTTAAAATTCTTCTTAGGTGGGTTAAGATTCACAGACCACTTGAAATGGAAGCCTAATTTGTTTGTTGTGCTTTTTCCAAGGACCCAAATTCTGTTTTACATGTTCCTTGCAAAAAAAAAGTTCCAAAAGGAAGCAATACATAAGCCTGGAGCAAACACACAGAAGGAAATGTACCTTCTTTTACCTTGTGCACATTTCCAAGTATCTGTAAGTAGCAGTTAAAACCACTCCACAGTTGTAGTTCAGAGCCCAGTTCCTATTCCACAGACATTGTTCTATTGGGTCAAACTCTGAAAGAAACATACCAGTTTCTCCATTTTCATTAACTTGACGTCCTGCTGATGCAGTTTTTCATTCTTGATCTCCAGCACGGCTTTCAGGCTTTCTAACTCTTGCTCCAGGTACATGATCTGAGGGTTCTTCTGGAATAGACACAGCAGAGCACAGCTTTGACTCATCACATAACACAAGATGTTCAAATTCTTAACCCAGTCTTTGATGAGATTTAGAACCTGAGCAAACAGGCAGCAAGAGATTTCTACCTTCTTACAGCTGCTTCACAGAAAGGTAAAAAGAAAAGTTAAGAGAACTACAAGCCCAAAGTCTTCGGTTCTAAGAACATAAGAAAACGTTTCACCTTTGAAAATCTCACTCATTTATCAAGAATTCATTTATCAGGAACTTAAGATCGAAAAATATTTTACTGGAAGAGGAAAAAAAAAAACATTGCTTATAATACAAAACGACTGTCAATAGGGATGAGGCCATTACAAGCCCTTTCCTGGTGTTTGGAGGGAAAAAAGGCAACAGCTGTTCTCTCAACAAAGTTAGTCAACTGATCAGGAAGAAAAAGGCAGTATATTTATAGTGCTCTCTGGAAAACGACAAAATAACCATAATGTTCTGAGTCTTTTGGATTTTTATTATGGTGGGATTATACCCGCCTGGCCATACTTCTCTTTTACACTTTTTGTCTATTTTAATATGCACCATTAAAATGCTGTCCAAGATGGGTGGCTCAGTTGATTGAGTGTCTGACTTTGGCTCAGTTCGTGAGTTTGAGTCCTGAATTGGGCTGGTCGCTGACCGTGTGGAGCCTGCTTGGAATTCTCCCTCTCTCCCCCTCTCTCTGCCCCCCCCCCCCCCCGGCTTTCTCTCTCTCCCTCCTCTCTCTCTCTCTCAAAATAAATAAATAAACTTTAAAAAATAAAATAAAATGCTGTCCGAGGTAAAAAAGGGGAGATGTTCTCTTAGATGACACCACTAAGGTGGAATCCTGGCTCCTTGCTTTATTTCTGGACATCCAAGTGAACCATCCAAAATGTCTGATACGAACAAACAGTGCAAGATCTACTGATCACATGGTGAATGAGGGGCTTTCTTAGACAAGCATCAGTGGTGTCGATCATCCAAACTATCCTTCTGGGCAGTGGTTAATGCTCTGGACCAATCCTTAGGGAAGACCAGGTAATGAATCTTCAGGGATTACCTATTCAAACACTTCACTACACAGGAGACTGTGAGTTCCACAACCCAGGCAACCTGTTCTGGGAATGTGCCAGAGCCAAAAAGTTCCCCGGGCGGGGATCACACCCAGGTCTGTATCACTAGAGCTCTTTCCAAAATTTCCGAAGTCTCATACACTGTCATCCTTTTACATATGAGGGTTTTTTTTGTTTTTGTTTGTTTTTTTTTTTTTTGCCCTGAAGATAGAAAATCCTATCTTTTGTTAAAAGGAAACAGTGTAATTTACTCTGTCATTTTTTAATTTATTTTTTTATGTTTCTTTATTTTGAAAAAGAAAAAAAGAGCATGATCGGGGAAGAGGCAGAGAGAGAGAGACACAGAGAGTATCCCAAGCAGGTTGTGTGCTGTCAGTGCAGAGCCTGATGTGGGGCTTGAACTCACCAACCAGGAGATCATGACCTGAGCTGAAATCAAGAGTCAGAAGTTTGGTGAGCCACCCAGGTGTCCCTACTTTGTCGATTTTTAAAAATTAGAGCATCTAGAGCCCTGCTCCCACTTCTCTGCCCGCCTGTCCCTTTCTCAAATGTGCTCTCCCACAACAGCAGGGAGGCAGGAGATAACCCCGCTTTCCTCAATCTGCTTCCATTAGTTTTCAAAAGCTGCTGCACTTCCAGGAAGCTCTTTAAAAATCTGCTCCTGGAACCCTGTGTAAGGTTTACAGCCTGCATTTAAGTCTAGATTTTTTGTTGTGTTTTGTTTTAAATCATTGCTTTGTCCAAGAATCTTCCAGAATAAATAGCTTTGAAGTTGCATTGAATATGACCTCATCTAATTGCATTCAAATGTCTAAGAGGGTACCCAGAGACATCAGCAAAAGAGTTCACTGAGAGACCCACACACGTGTGCTTCTTGAGCCGGCAGATTCTAAGTGGGAAATAACTTTTCCTGCAGCCCCGTGCACACGTGTATGGAATGAAAACGGTGGCACCGAAGACAGAAACAGGAAACATTTTTTAAATTCTCAAAAGTAGGATGGGGGCAGGGGAGGAGGGATACAAGTTCCAAGAGAAAGCTGAGCTTACAAGATAAATCTGTACTTTTCGAAAGGGAGGATTACCCCTATGGCCCACTGCTGAGACATAACAAGGCAAAGGATGAAATGCCTGTAGGATTACAATATGCATCAACCTTGACAACATAAGCTGAGCGAAAGAAGCCAGACACAAAAGGCCACACAGAACACGATTCCATTTATATGAACCTCCAGAGTAGGAAACTCCATGGAGACAGAAAGAAGTGTGGGGTTTCCCTGGGGCTGGGGGGTTTCGGGGGTGGGGGGAGGAAGGTGAAATGACTGCGAACGGGCACAGGGTTTCTTTTTGAGGAGACAAAATGTTCTGTAATTAGATAATGGTGACCAATGCACAACTTGCAAATCACTGAACTGTACATTGAAAAGGGTATTAAATTTTTTTTTTTTTTAAAGGGGGCACCTGGGTGGCTCAGTGGGTTGAGCGCTGACTGGCTCACATCATGATCTCACGGTTCATGAGTTTGAACTCCGCATCAGGCTCTGTGTTGACAGCTCAGAGCCTGGAGCCTGCTTCGGATCTTGTCTCTGTCTCTCTCTCTGCCCCTCCCCCACTCTGTCTCTCAAAAATATAAAAAAAAATTAAAAGGGTGAATGTCGTGGTACGTCGATTATATCTCAGGCTACCAGTTAGTTTAAAAACAAACAAACAAACAAAGGGTAGTCCTCACATGAAACCCTGACGCTCACTGACAGTTGTCCTGTCTTCCTGAAGTTATTAGCCTAGACTGCTTGCAATCTACTGGGCTTGACCTGTATGTGGTTCGTAGAATTTCTAAAAGGACACCAAGAAACAAGCCAGTTTAAAAATCACTCTGCAATTTGGAGAAGGATTCCAAAGCCCTATTATTTCTCTAGCTGCTGAACACTGACTGGACCCTAAAAGGCAGCTGAGCAGAAGGAAACTCAGGAGTGATGGAGAAGCACACACAACTTACTAAATTTGCTTTCTCTCTTGATATTCTTTTTTGTTCTTCTGATTTCAACTTTTCATTTAAAGCATCATTTTCACTCTTCAGATCACTGATTTGTTTCTAAAACAAACAATGAAATGTGGAACACAAGTTAACAAGCAGACACCAGAAACACAGCAAATGTACACAGAAACATTACCCAAACCACAGGAACCTCAAGAATGAGGGCACTTTTGGGGGGCGGGGCTAAGTGAGATTTACTCACCTCTAATGATTCCTGCTTCTCAAAAAGCATATCCTCGAGGGATTTCTTTTCTATTTCATGGCTTTTCTTGATTTCTGGAAAGAAGTAATTTTTTGGAGGCAACGACATCATATAAGATCACTGTATTCTACAGTTGTTAAAGCACGTAGATGTAAGAGTTAATTAAGAAGCCGTATGACTATGTTACTTTATAAGATGTTATTATACAAATTAAACCATCTATTCTCAGATTAGCCCTATGAAGGGAGCAGGGCAGATATATTTCCATTTTATGACGGAGAGCATGGAGGCCCACAGAAGCCCAGAGGCCTTAGGAAACACAGAGCATCCTTCTCAGGGGAGGGCCTCAAACACTGGCCTGCACACTCCTGCTCTGGAATTTCTCTGCACTTTTCCATTTGCTCTTCATGACCCAAACAGAAGTCTAAAACTAAACCCATTTCAGGGGCACCTGGGTGGCTCAGTCGGTTGAGTGTCCAACTTCAGCTCAGATCACGATCTCGCGGTTCTTGAGTTCAAGCCCCGCATCGGGCTCTGGGCTGACAACTCAGAGCCTGGAGCCTGCTTCAGATTCCATCTCCTTCTCTCTCTGCCCCTCCCCTACTCACACTCTGTATCTCTCTCTCTCAAAAATAAACATTAAAAAAAAAATTAAAACCATTTCTAGCATGAAGGAAGAACGACAACATTTACTAAATGTCTACCCTGGACCACTTTTATATGTTCTCTAACTTCACACGACAACTATTTTTCTGACAAGAAAAACCTCTGCCAAAGGTCACCCAGCCAGTTCTAACCCCACGCCCACATGCTTCTCTGTGGGAAGCATGGAGCTAAGTGCAACAACTTCTGCGGTACTCTGTGTTCTGGAAGCAATGGCTCCTTCTTCTCCTTCTACTTCAACCCTTCCACTCATGATGAAACAAGTAAAACAAATTCTTTCTTGATTCAAAAAGCGCCATCTGCATTTCCCAGCATCCTTGTACAACTTGAGTTGGTGAGCGAGGGTGCTCAGCATGGATCCTTTATTGTGGCCAGGATGTAAACGAACACTTTTAACTTCTCAGGACCTCAACTGGTAAAGAACAATTACTACCAAAAAGGCCTTTACATTCTTTAAAATCCATCCTATTTCTTCAAAGGCTGGCATCTGTGACAAACTATTATTTGCATCCTAAGGGGAAAAGAGCATCTGCTAACAATGAACAATGCAAAAAGAAAGCAAAAACACTCCACACTGAATACCACAGGGTATTCTCTGGAAAGGAAGTTTATGAATCATTTCCGTTTTAAAACATATCATGCTGTTCCATTAGACCTGATTCTATTTTTTTTTTAAAGCATTCTTGCCTGAAAGGGAGGTTTCATAGGCTTTCTTCAGCAATTCAATTTTCTCTGAGTGGCTAGCTTCAATTTCCAGCTTCGAGGTTTCATGGGCAGCATTTAAGTTGTCAAACTAGAAGAAAAAAAAAACAAACAAACCCAAACAATACTTTACCAGTAAAGTTAAAAGCCTTAAGTTGAATAGTATGCAGCAACGTTAGGAGATTTGACTCATAAGCTTGCATTCAAGTTACAGGGCTGCCCAACACATGAAAAGAACCACCCGACTTGGGGACTTGGGTCTGCCAGTCCCAATTCTCCACTCTGTTTTTACCCCCCACCCCCCCAACCCCGCCCCAGGGGGGAGTCCAAGCACACGAGTTCTCCAGGGTTCATGGATGGAAATGGCCAAGTCCATCATAAGGAATAAGGATATATTTCACAGTGATAGGACCACATAAGATCCACGCCTGTCATATCGGCCTTTATGTATCCTCAGTCCCTAGCACATGCCCGGCGTAGGCATTCGGTAAATATTTGCTAAAGGAAAAACTGATTTTAAAGGGGAGCAAGGAAATTGAAGACAAGTTCATGATACAAGGATATGTGACAAATATGGGTTATTCAATGCCATTTTAAAAAATAAAAAATTCACAATAATTTTTTTGCAGTATAACATCAGAATGCAAAGGGATTACTTCCAGGTAGTAGGGTAAAGGGTGGCTTTTTTGGTTTTTTGTTTTTACTTTTCTTTCTTTTGTCTTCCTTTCTTTCACCCAATATTGCTTTGATCATAAGGGAAAAAATAATTGAAAAACCCCTTTTCACTTATTTAAATAAACAAAGGGAAGTTCAAAGGAAATTCATCATCAAACAACAATCAGAATTCAAATAAACAGCCACGATGGAGAACACGCTCCGGCTCCAAAAGCACAGACCTGCTCTTGCAGTTGGTTTTTGTACTTCTCCGCTTCTTCAATGTAAATGTTCTGGAGCTTTTCACACTCCCCGGTGTAAAATTCTTTAAGCCGATTCTCTAGCTCTGTTAGATCGGTCTGGTGCTGCTGGTTCAGCTTCTGCACAAATCCTTCATAAGCTATTTGCAACTCATTTCTGGCTTTTTCTAATTTCTCACAGGTCGATGAAGCAGTGACTGAAAAGAGATGAAAAAGGGAAAAGATATTTAAACTGCTAAATGTCCTAAAATCCTAACATTCAAGCACAGGTGTGAGGACTCTGGAAACATTAACACAGTACTCACAGTACTCAGTTCTCTCTTGACCAGACTTTCAAAGGTAATAGTATAGAAGTGAACAGTAAATAAGAACAAGAGCAAATGGTCGCTGGCAACCCCCCACCCCCAAAACCAACCCAAACCAAAAACAAACAAAAAAACCCCACACAATCATCTAGCAAGAAGTAACAGAAGTACTTGAGAACCAGGTTTCCAAGGGAGGATCACCCTTTTGTATGTTGCCCAATCAGTGCGGGGGCCATAAGGAGAGGAGGCTCTGATTGGCTGAGGCGTCTCTAAGGTTGGCCAGCCAGTAGGGAGACGCTAAGACACAGAGGAACAGGGAAGACCAGAGAGAAGAAATAAACGGATTTTAATCTTCCACTTAATTTGAGCTGATTTCAAAAGGACAGTTATCAAAACAAAGTATTAGAATATGTTGAACACAAATGACCAGGGCATAAAAACTTCAGGAAAAACACATTTTAAAAGCTATCATATAAATATATCGTTTATATTGTTGATATACACAGGTTGATATTTTTAAAAGGCAAAGTTATCTGAAAAACAGAATTTGAAATCGGAGCATCTTACTTCTTCACCACCACTACTGAAAACACGTAATCGTTAACGAAAAATTTTCAGATTTGCACATAAAGGCATATAATACAACCACACTGTAATAAATCTTGGAAGATCTCGATCATTTGTCAGAAGTTTGACTCTGGACTTTTTTAACCTTCCTTCACTGACATTCAATACAGGTGAAACCAGTGCTACTCTGTCAGAATTCGTGTTCTCAATATCCTAAAGCACCCATGGACTAATACAGAGTACTGGTACATCTGTTGTTAATCCTTACCTCCCTTTTGGCAAGCAATATAGATTTCTGGAATTATGGAAGAAATAAGATTGTTTTAGGGCAGAGAAAGGACAGTTTAGTTTAATGATAATTCTAGCTAAGTAACGTGGAACTGGCTGGCTCCTGGGATGAATTTCCAGCAAGGAGGTAGACTTGTCTTCATGGTCTCTTAGGAACATGCCATGTAGTGGTAGAAATATTAGTCACTTGTCTCCTATTAGGATTCTTTTAGAGGCAAAATGGACCATATTGAATAATGACAAGAATAGCTTCTTCTAAAGAGAACCATTAAAATTCAAATAAATTCATAAATACTTGTTGAAGGGGAAAGGAACATAAAAAAATAAAAACTACTACTCAGTGAATGGCGCTCCTCACACGTTATCTCGTCTACCTCTCCCAGAAGTCCTGTGAGAACCTTGTTACAAAATGAATAAGGAAGTCAACAGAGGGGGTACACAATTTGCCTATAAGCACACAGCTAAATAAGTGGCAGGAGACTGGACTGTTGTAAGCAGTTTGGATACTGATTGTCTACATCCAAAGCCTGTGCTTCTCCCCCACCCCACCCAGCTGTCTTTTGTGCCAGAGACTGGAGAGAAACAACATGGAGCCTCTCCTTGGGAGGCTCATTGTCTAAGTGAGAAGATATACACTTCAGAAACAATACAGGGAAATACCTAAGGGTCCAATAAATGGCGCTTACAGTGGTTTACACCCAGCTACGATGGTATGGAAGTTGGGGTCTTAAATTTCTTTAAGTTGTGGTAAAATGTAGGTAACATCAGTACCTCAGATAAATGGAATCATACAGAACCTGCCCTTTTGTGCCAGGCTCATTTCACTCAGCAGCATGTCTTCAAGGGTCATATGTATGTTGTGGTATGTGTCAGAATTCCCTTCCTTTTGAAAACTGGATAATAGTCCATTGTGCATATAGACCACATTTTGTTTACCATTCATCTGTCAAAGGACACTTGGGTTACTTCCACCTGTGGGCTGTTGGGAACGCTGTTATAAACATGGGTGCACAGACATCTGTCCGGGTCCCTGTCTTAGTTCTTTTGAGTATATTCCTGGAAGTGGACTTGCTGGGTCATATGGTAATTCTGTTATTATCTGAGCCAACACCGTCCTGTTTTCCATGACAGCTACACCATTTTTCATTCCCACCCGCAGTACACAATGGTTCCAATTCCTCCACACTTTCACCAAAAATTGTTTTCTTTTCTTGTATTATTTTTTATAAGCCATTCTAATGGGTGTGAAATGGCAGCTCACTGGTTCTGATCTGGTCAATTTTTTTTCTTTTTTTTAATTGAGCCACGTGACATAAATGCCATCCTGATACTGAGGGTGAAAACTATTCTACCATGAACAAAGGTGGGAGACTGCATGGCGTGCCTTGGGGACTAGAACTTTCACAAAGCATAACAACTGGAGGTAAGACCCAAAGAGGTAGATGGAGGCCAGATTATCGGGGTCATCAAATGCAGTACAGACTGACAATTCAGTCCCTTGGAACTAAATTTTGGAAGTTATTATTATTTTTTCTTTAAAAGAGTAAAAGATAATGGTGATGTTGATGGTTACATAACACTCTTCACTTTTCCTTTTTATTGTACTAATTATTTACCAAAGGAGGGGAAAAAATGATTCAAGAAGGCAAATGTTAGTCAAACAGGTACACACAACATTAGCTTCCACTAACCTTCCCAAGTACACAAACAAAATGATGGCCCCACATGCTTCCTTGTGGGAATCTACATTATAACACTCTATGAAAGTAGATGACAGAAAAATATTTTGCAAGCACTCAATGAAGATGTCCAATAGCTTTCTTATTGGTTTCATGTCGTTTTTACTTAATTCTCTTGGAATTTCAGAGATCAGCCAAAAAAAAAAAAAAAAAAAAAAAAAAAAAAAAAAAAAAAAAAAAAAAAAACCAATAGTATGATAGCAGCCCATCTGAATGCTCATATCAGAGACAGAAATGTCTAAGTGAACCAGAAACTAGAAGATCATCTATATGAAGTTAATCGTACGCTACACCCGCCCAATTTTAACACATTTGTTTGTAATGAAACAACAGTCAGTTTGAACGTATATCTACAGTACATCTGGGTTTAAAATCAAATAGGATATCTGGAAATCTTCTCACATTAGCCACCGGACAGGGTGTTTCCTGTTTTAAAAAAAAAAAAAAAAAAAAAGAGAAAAGAAAAGAAAAGAAATAACAGAAGAGGAAAAGCTTGTAAGTGTTTAATTTTGTTTGCCACTGTGAGTGAGGGGAAGGCAGAGGGGAGGCAAGGGGTAGGTCAGAACAGGGAGAGAAGGCTTTATCGCCCTTAGTACAACCATCCCAAGCTTGGGCTCAACCCCAGGCAGTGACATCAGCCCACAGCTGTGCACAGACCTTTGCTCTGCTACCGGCCTGGCGTGCCGGGCAGACAACAGCTGGACTGAAATCATCCCTCACACCAACAGCTTTACTTTGAACTAATTGGCCTGGGCTCCTGAAGGAAAAATGTATTTGGCACAAAGACTCTTGGAACACTTTTTAAGGACACCCATGTAACCAACGCATCAAGGGTTCTGAGCACTCCCTCTCCACCAGACACACACAGTGGGGGGAGTGCGGGAGGTCACCTGGGGCTTCAGTCATGGCCCCTTCCTTGTGCTGATAACAGTTTAGGAGAGCTCCTTAAGGCCATCTCAGCCCGGTCTTGTCCTTGCTTACTCTCCGGAAAGCCACTCCCTTTCAGACAGTGAAGCAGGCACCCAGCAAAGCCAAAATAAAACAGGGGATCTTTCAGAATTTCCAGCAAGTGAGCAAGGGGTTTTCAGTGCAAGCTGACACTGTTTTCAAGAAGTTGTTGCACAAATACCAAATCCATACAGTACAAAGGAATCTTTCTGTCCTGGTGTCTTAATCCTTCCATCAAGCGACTGGTAAAAGCAGGTCTGGGACTAAGGGTGCCGAGAGGCCACTGCCCGTGCAAAAGCTGGACACCCGTAACTTTTGTACACGCACTGGGACGCTGCAAAAGTTATCTCCAGCGTCCGCCTCAGCCTGAGTTTGCAGAATTAGGAAAGAAAGAAACCAACTCATTTACAAGACCAGCCCTAAAGCCACAGGCCGTGTTAGAGGGAGCCCTTTTCGCCCCGGGACAAACTACGCCCACGCAGAATTCTCGGCCAATGACAGAACAGGAACACAACATGGTTCAAGCATATAGAACTGAGCAAGGAAAAAAAAAAAACATTTCAGAAAAATGGACAAATGCCTGAATTTTCTCCTTTTCATATAACTTATTTGGATGACCTCTGGAAAAGGCTCCATGTCACAGCCAATTATAATCTCTGAAAAGGAGAGCTGGATTCATCCGGGGTCCTCTAGCCCTTATCCCGAGAAGCACACGCATAGCTATTACCTAATTTGTTCTGGGGACCTCTTCTAAGGGGGGAGGCTAGACCTATATTCTCTCCATCTCGTAGACATCAGTTTCCCTTCGGTGACTGATAAATGCATGTTTACAGAGAAAAGCACCACACAACCATGGCCCTAACTTGGTCATATTCTTCATGACCATATTCTTCATGACTCCTTCATTTTTGGATCTGGGTAGCATGGTTCATCACGAGACAACCCCAAATATTTTAACTCTCAGGAACATAAATAAAAGTCTTCATAGAACAGAGCTAGAATAATTAGGTCCAATTCTCAGTCACACCATTTACCTGAGCAAATTATTTAAGCTTTCTAAACCTTCATTTTCTCATTTTTTTTTTTTAAATGGAGCTAATATTGGTAGCTTCCCTGCAGGATTAAATAAAATAACACACACGAAGCCCCTGACCCAGTGGCTGACCAGAGTCAGCGTGAAATAAATGTTGCGGTTATCTTACCCGCCTTACAAAAGACCACCCGTTGAAATGCGTTTGAAGAATTGTCAGAGACAGGCTTGTGGTTCCACGACAGAATGTGACAGTTAAAAAGCAGCCTTGTGTAGCATTCAAAGCTACACACACAGACACACAGGATAGGGTACCATAG